CTCAACAGTACCTCTTCCATAATAAGTAGAACGTGGGTTACGCCTCAGGTTTTCTGGATTTGATTTTTCGGTTTGATTACTCAGTTGACATTCCTTCTTTGCATCATTAGCATCGGATTTGCTGTTGTAAGATTGGCAGTTTTCATCTTGAAGGCATCTCAATCCACAGCTTATTTCGTCAACATATAATGTCTTGGTGATATGACCAATTAGCTCAAATCCTAGAAAAAAACACAATCGTGTTTTAATTATCATCACACAGTTTACTTTGGATACTTTCATGATACAGTTTGTGTGTTGTAGTTTACCTTATCTTAAGAGGTCATCTTGATTCTTGATAGTGCACAAAGGTAAATATGAAGTAGCCCTAGGAGTTATGAGAGTTGAGCGTAGAAAGTTTCTGTTGTTTTTACCCGAAAACCTCGTTCCTGCTCAGAGCAGACGAACTGAAAGCCACAAGAAACAAAGCAACACCACTCAACAGAACGGGACAGAAATGGAAACCAACTAGAAGCCCTCTCATCCTGTAATTTAAGAAAGAAAGAAAAACAGATGACAAATGTCGCCTTTTCCCCTTTTTTGATGCAAGAAATATTTGTGACTTTAGGGTTTTGTTAATTACAATTTTGCCGTCTGACCTGGAGATAGAATGCGAGGACTTTTTAAACTACCAAGTTATATAAAACTATCTCTCCTGCTAAGGATTAATTTTTGTCCGCTGGCTTGCACAAGTTACTCACCCGATAGTAAGTAAATACATCGAGTTTCTCACTCACACTCACCTTCCTTTTCTTACTTTTCCTCGACTTTTCTTCTCACGTTTATGCGGTAGTCAAGGTCTTTTTTATTTATACTTCTCACTCAAACGTATTTCTCGAAGCGGCTGACTATTCAAGATTTGTGTTGTTGTCAAAGTTGAAGAGCAATCTTCTTTTGAAGTTTAAATTAACCAATTTCTCCAAATTAAATGACTTCATTACTCCTTGAAACCAGTATATTCTTACCTTCAGTTTCTTTCCACTTCTCTCGAATTTTTCTATTGAAAAACTCTATTATCAACTTTTCATACAATTTTAATGAAGCTTGAGACAATAATTAAAAGAAAT